TAATAAATGACCTGAGTGTCATTGACAGACCTGACCTTTGACATCATTAGTGCAGTCCTGATGGGCTGGCTAGATAAGAACAGACCTAAAAAGAAAAAACAAAACCTGGGCATATTTATTTTGAAAGGCCCTGGAGGTTTTTAATAAGAACACTTGCATCAGAAGAAATGTAATCCGGGTGAGAAAAATCACATATTTTGGCTTAGGGTAAAGTCACTGGCAAAAAGAAAGACCAAGCTGCTAGGCTGAGAGGGGAAAATCCATCAAAAACAGAGATTCTTCTGATGCTAAGATCATAAAAATGAGGACAGATCTTTCGAAGTGGTCTAGTATAGTTCAGATAGATAAATATGACTAAAACTAACAACTTGATGATTTAAAAACACGTACTTTTATAGAGCACAATGCTTCTATAAACTATAATTGACTTGTATTCACAATTGACATTCTAACCCCCATAGAAGATATGAACTATCCTCTATTTTTTAAATTCTCACAATATCATAAAATCGACTCACATGTATTAAGATCACAAAAGCAATTCCATATTGAAATATAATGAGTAAACCGTGAAGGCAAGCAGGAACACTTTCTAAAACTCCATCCATCGTCCTTTGGCTAGGAATTCGATAACTCATGTAAAGGAAGAGAGTTTTAATTCCCGACTTCTGTGGACATAAAAATTACTGTATCACATGTATTTTAGTTTAAAGGAATTGGAGGTATAATTTTAATTGTATTCACTTTCTACTTAATGCATTGACTTTAGGCCCTGGCGTAAATTGCTTCTGACTCCCATCTACTATGTTAGTCATGGCCACACAGAAGCAAAATTGAGCTGAGTTTAATTTAATAAAACTCAAAAAGTACAAAAAATAACCTTGCACACTGAACTTTTGATAATCTTCTAATAACAGCTCTGTCTTGTAAAAGAAGAAACTGAGGTGTAAGATTGAAACAGCCCACCCAATGCCCACAATAAGTGAGGGCAAGAGCCAATATATGAACCCAAATCTGTCCCATTTCAAAATACTTCTTTTTTCATCTGGGGTCTTAGATGGTGGAAGCAATTGGCTATTGGCTGATCATTAGGACAACCAAAGAACACCTCCCTTGCCCCATTTCCTAATACCCCCTTTAGAAGTGGCACCAGCTGGGGTTGACAAACTGTTTTAACATCAAGTTGCACTCTGGTCTTGGAAATTTGTTTCTGAAACATTCTACTATATCTTTGCCAGAAGCCACAAAGGCCAGGAATAAACCTCTTGAAAAGAAGCCGGTGAAAAAGTATACAGTACTTAGAAGACTGCATTGCTCATGGTTTCTCAGGAAAACTGGGCTTCTTGTCTCTGTAATTACTAAGGAACTTGAAATACAAATTTCCTAAGGTCGCTCATTAAATAACAGGTCACTCATTGCCTCGACTCTACAAATAAAATTCCTTGAGAGCCCAGCATCTCGGTGTGCTTATAATGTACAAGACAATGTTTGATATAGTTGTCATTTATTGATTACTTATTATGTACCAGCATTTTACAAATCTCTTTTCTGCTTTCCACAACTGTATGGAAGTGATTATTCCTATACACAGATGAGAAAATTGATGCTTTGGGAAGTGCGGTAGTTTGGCCAAGCTCTCATGGTTAAGGAAGGGGAAGAGCTAGGATTTAAATAAAAGTCCACGAGCCTGAAAAACTCAATTTCACTGACTTGGACAACAGCCATGATGCTTTTTCAGTCAGCCTTACTTTCCAGTAGTAGGAAAAGTAACTGAAATTCCTAACTTATGAACCAGACTGTTGATAGTGACACTGAAAACAATTATTTTGCACTATGTCCTGCCGTAGATGTTATTTTTTATTATTGCTAGACTGCTCTCAGCAGGGTCACCTCATTAGCAGAAGAAAATTTTCCCTGTTGTTCCACAAGAGACAGGTCAGATGAAGAAGTGTAGAAACAAACTCTAGAAAGTGATTCTGTTCCCCTCGTTTAAGCGATGGGACAATAATCCCCTTCTTGTCTGATTCCCAGCCTCCTACGTGATGTTTTAGTTCTATAGTTGCAGAAGTGTTTTTGAAATGGATGGAAAAGTTTTACAGAGTTGCCTTCTAAAACTCTTTATCAGTGTTCCCATAACAGAGTAAATTGGGGTGTTGAACCACTGGCAAGTATGTTGAATAGTGCTCTGTTTTAAATTTTCCCGTGTAGGAAAATAATAGTTTGGTTACATTGCTCCTTATTGGTTTTGAGGAATAACTATTAGTGAGACTTTTACTTTTTTATTTTTTTATTCCAGCAACTTCAAATGCAAACATTTCATCAAATATATTGATACACCTATTGATAGATATCTCCCAAGCCAAGGGTTGTAAAAACCATCCATAAAATCATGTCACTTTGCTCTCCATTATCTATAGAGAAACCAAAATGATCTTTTCAAACTTATATTCAATTATAGAATTTGCACTTCATTTAGAATAAATTCAAAATGCCCCATCATGAACCACCAGGCCTACATAATCTTGCTGCCGCTGACCCTTCTGCATGTCCCTTTTCCTCTCACTCACTATCTTCTAACTACTCTGTTTTTATGTCAGGACTTTTGCATTTCCTGTCTCTCTTCATGGAACAGTGTCCCTCCTGATCTTTATTTGGCTAATTCTTTCTCATTGTTCAAGTTTCAACTCAGACTTCATTCGACAAAAAATTGTTCCCTGATTCCCTGTTTGTCATCCTTTGATCTCTAACCACATTACCTTCTTTTGTTTTATTTTTTTAAAGGACTTTTTCAGCATTTGAAATGATCTTATTTATCATTTTATTTTATTTGTTTTCTGTTAAACTAAAATGAAAACAGGGACTTTTGTCACCTCATTTGTCATTGCACCCCTATGGCTAATATAGAACCCAGCATATATTCAGGTTCAAGAGTGTTTGTTAGATGAATGAATGAATGAATGAATGGATTCCAGTTCTGTGCCTGCAATGAAATACAAGCCTCAGATAAAAACCATAAGGCACTGAAATATTTACTGAGTGGTTCAGATCTACATAAATATGGGAAAGTTGAGATTAAAATAGAAATTATAAAATTTCTTTTTATTATTCCCTGGTCTGCCTATCACGAACAGCGATTCTATTGGGAAGTAGGCATAAAAGTCAAGGAAAACCCAGAACTGCTTCACAGGGAGCAATCTCAGCCCATGCTCCGTCTCTCTGGAGGTTGGCTTCTCCCTTTATGAGCTCCCTCTCCTCTGCCTACTCCAGCAGGCCCTCACTGATTCTAATCAAAATTTTCATGGTGAACATCAAATCATCCCCAAATATCCGATTTTACACTAATTTCCGGGCCTTCTCACCTGCCAAAAACAAATCTTATGGCATCCCTCTTTAATATCATCCCTACCAAAATGACAGCATCAGTGATCTGGTCCTCTCTCCTAGCAGTGAACTCATATTGTCTTAAGTCTTTGGTTTTCCAAAATAAATAACCTTTTTTCTAGTGCCTGTATATGTCCCCAAGTGTCCTATTATTGAGTTCACGGAGTACAAATGGAAAATGGTTATTACCAGACAGGAGTGTTTAAAATGAAAATCAAACTTAATACATGGACTCAGACACCTGCGATAAGGAATATAATATTTATAAAACTGAGTTGGAGGTTGCAATCATTGCTCTAAAATAAAGCATTAAATATTAATTCAGAGCAAACCTGTCTGTGCTGCAGCAAACGTCTCTTTCATTAAGGTGGCACTGCATGTTTCTCCAGAATTAGTTCCCCCAAATAGGTAAATAGCTTGTAAGAACTGAGTGTTCTGCAAACTACAGAAAAATCTACCTGAGGCACGATTTAGAATTAAAGCATTACACACCTTTAATTTTGAACCAATTAATTGTGATTCTTGTATATTCTCTACATTTCTGCCCTTGGGTGTCACTAGGAAAGTTTAATGCTTCTTATTCATCTTCATTTGATTAATCCAAACGGTGCCAGATCTTTTGATTAACTCATGTTGCAGCATATTAAATATTAGGAAACTGCAGGAGCCAGTTATAAGTTGTACTTTAAAATTTTCCATAGATGCTTTTTATTTCAAAAATTTTGTGTTTCATTTTTTTTAATCTTTTCTCCTAATCTTCTACTTCACATTTTTATTACTATGGTTATGTTCTGATCCCTACTATGGAATATACTAATAAAAAGAGAAGAAAAATAAAATTGCTAGTTATTTCTGAATTTACCATTGAGATGAGGTTTTTATTTTGCTCAATTTACACTATACCTCTGAAGCCCTAAAATAAATAACTTTATGCCCTTTAGGCCCTATTGATTTTTGAATGATTTCAAATAAAAAGCATCCAGTTTCCATGTATTGACAAACTGTCCAGTCCCTGGGCAAAACCTATTGGATTCCTATTAAATGGAGGAAGGGGCAGGAAACAACAACAAAATCCAAAAAGTGAATCCTAAATGGGGCGGGGAGAGGTGGCCCAGGCTCAGCTCAGTAAATGGGTATTTAACCTTTGACCAATGACGACAGGTCTCCTTTAGTTCTATTAGACCAAGAGCAAGCTGTTATGATTTAATAAAAAAGAAAAAAACTGTTTAGAGCCTTATTGAATATGTCCTGGGAATTAAAGCATATGGCAGGGGTAAGGAAAAAAGATTTTCCTTATGCTAATGACCCATGATGTCTGAAATAAATTAGATCCATTAGAGTTCTGCTCAATAAAAGAAAGACTTTAAGCACTCCAAAGTTAGTGACTCGAGACCAGTTTTTGCTCTGAAATTCAATCTGCCTACTTATTAATTCTTACTGAGACTCCAGAGCAGACAGGAGATGCAAAATCATAATTCTGTGCTGAACCAGGATTCTAAAGGGCCATAGGATTCTTCTCCTTTTCTTTTAATTAACCATTTTTCATGCTTCTCATTTTATTTCCATCATTAATTTGATTTTGTTCCCATTTTTGTTTCATTTTTTTGTTTCTTTTCAAGGTTTCATTTATCCCATTTCAACTGAACAGAGAACCCAGAATGAATATGGATTTTCTTGTAAGTTTGATGTTTGGTTTTTATGTTGCTAAATAATCTTTTAACATCATTGCCCTCGGTTCAAGTTTACTTTTCTTTAGATCACAGATGTGCACACAGGAAATAGGTGCCTAATATATTCTAACATGAAAAACAAATTAGATTTTCACTGCAGAAGAAAAGAAAGGGTCATTTCAAGTCTCCACCAGCTTTAAAACCTATCAGCCTACCGTGCAAAGCTTGGGTCCAGTAGCTGACAAAACATATCGGAAAAAATGCTGATATAAATAAAAGGCTGGGTTCAAATGCTAAAAAAGTAAAGGGTTGAGAAAATTCAGATCTATTGAGTTAGAAATCATGAATGTTGAATCAGCAATTACAGCCTGGTAAAATAAAGCATTAAGGATTTCGATATAATATTCTGATCAGAGTTCCGAATGCTGCTGACTCAGATGGGACCCAGCAGCAGAGTGAAGTCAGCACTTCGAAAGCGGTGCTCACACAACCAAGAATGTTTGGGATGTCACTGGTTTCCTGAAAAGATCTCTGAATATTGACATGATTGATAGGACAGTGGATAGTCTGGAAACTTTGGGGAAAAACAGTGGTTTAAAAAGAAAAAAAATAATCCTTTCACATGCAGTGCATTTAGACACAAAATTCTAAAAGGAGACATAGTGATTTCTAACAGAGAATTCCTTTATATTGTTGACGCGTGACATGAAAGTGTAGGTGGTTCCGTGAGCCCCCGGCAATTTAAATAGAGTCACTTCACCGTATAAACCTTCTGGCTGTGAGTCTTAAGAAAGAGCAGTGGTTCCTCAACTCTTAGGAGGTCATGGGACCTACAAATGTGAGCCTCCTCCCCCTCTGCCAATGCACATAAATATATAAAATTGAGCATAAAAAAAGGCTGTTGTTGACCACCAGAATGAAGTAGCTGTTTAATCACCTCCTTCACAGTGAGCCAAGAAGTTTCAGTTAACTTTGCTGAAAATTGTTGTGGGTCACAGAAAACTGAAAACAGAGATTTAAAGATGTCAGTGGGATTCAGGAAAAGTTTACTTTTATTTGTTTTGTTTTATTTATCACCTTTTGCCATTAGATCAAAGCATGTTCTATGCCACCAAGGCAACATGCAACATTTACAGGAATTTTCTTCTCTTATTACCCAGAAACAGACACCACCCCCATCCCCACTCCCAAATCTGACCGCACACTGTGTTGGTCAAATGCTTAATTGCCTTCAGGGCAAGTCAGACCTTTCTGATCACTGAACCAGACCTTTATCTTACACAGTACACAGTAGAGCTGTATTTTATTCCAGTAATAAGTAGCTCAAATGTAAATCTCTGACAAGGGACCGTGAGAAGCTCAGGGTTCTCAGAGGTAATACTGAGTCTGTATAAAAGCCTGGAGTTACCGGTGTTAACCTCTGCTCCTCAGATCTGGGTCTGCTGAAAGCACACCTTTCAGATCCATCATGTTTTCTCCTAATATTTGCTTTGCTTAGTTCTACCATTCCCACCATGCATTCATTGATTTAGGGGAAAGTGAGAAGAGTACTATGGAAAGTAATTTTATGACTTGGAAGGATTCTAGGAAAATATTCTGGTTCGATAAATATACAGATTCAGAACATGCCAGATATTTCTAGCAGAGTGTTTATGTTTATGTTTTTAAAGAACTGTCAGTGAATTCAAAACCACCTTCTAAACTTTTCACCTGAAATTAGTAATAAGCTTTTTCCTCCTGTGGGTCAGTATGGTTTTAGCTGCAGTTCCTTTTGATGCCTTGTAATAAATGACCTGATATGCTGCCCAGTTTAAGAAAGATGAGTGGGTGGATAGATGCAGAATGCGAAAGGCAAAGAAATCAGAGATAATTTTCCACTGAAAGGCCACAGTTGTTTTATATAGCTTTTGGAATAGATTTGAAATTAACCTATAAAAAAGGCAATAAATGTCTGAGAAAATTATAGCAATATGTATGTCTACTGTGGGAAATTTCTCTAACCAGTTGGTCCAATGTTTCCTTCTCGGGTCTAGCTGCTCCTGATTCAGATGACATTGCTCTGTATGTTGGCATCGTAATAGCTGTGATTGTTTGCCTGGCCATTTCTGTAGTTGTGGCCCTATTTGTGTATCGGAAGAATCATCGTGACTTTGAGTCTGATATTATTGACTCTTCGGCACTCAACGGAGGCTTTCAGCCTGTGAACATCAAGGCAGCAAGACAAGGTCAGTTGACATTGCATTCACACCTGCAACTTATGCAGATAAGTAACCTCCCTGTGTGGCTCCAGAATCAGTGAAATCATCCAGTTCAGCTAGACCATAAGCTCCATGAAGACAGAGATTTTGGTCTGTATTGTTAATTACTGTATTAACTTAATTCACATAACAAGTTAGAGTTGACAAGGTGCATGAATCTTTCTTCTTTCCCATTCTCTAACAGGTTTCTCTGTCATACCTTTTAACTTTCACTTAAAAATAGTACATGAACTGGTTGACTGATACTTGAATCTCTTTTTATTTCTCTTTTGACAAAACATCTTGTATTGCTATGAATACAGTGATCTACAGAAGAACTGAAATCCAGTATAGACAAGGGAAATTATTACCTCTGGTCACCTAGTGAGGATCACTGTCCAGTAGTCTCATCTGTTGAAATAGCTAAAGACCTTCAGAGCAATGACTAGACTTCAAGGCAAAATCTAGAACCTGTCTATTTAATTATAGCCAATAATAAAATGGATCCTAGTCACCTAATTGTCCTGTTTTCAGCAAAACTGTAGATTCTATACATCTCTAATAGTTGTTGAGTTTCTTTGCATTTGACTCAGAAAAGTGTCAGGGGAAGACTGACTAATATAAGGTGGCTGAATGAAGAATGCAAGTAGAATTTCTTTTTTCTTTCTGACTCAGATCTCCTGGCAGTACCCCCAGACCTCACATCAGCTGCAGCCATGTACAGAGGACCTGTCTATGCCTTACACGATGTCTCGGACAAAATCCCCATGACTAACTCTCCAATTCTGGATCCACTGCCTAACCTGAAAATCAAAGTGTACAACACGTCAGGTGCTGTCACCCCCCAGGATGACCTCTCTGAGTTTGCATCAAAGCTGTCCCCTCAGATGACCCAATCTTTGTTGGAGAATGAGGCCCTCAACCTGAAGAGTCAGAGTCTGGCAAGGCAGACTGATCCATCCTGCACCGCATTTGGCACCTTCAACTCGCTCGGGGGTCACCTTATTGTTCCTAATTCAGGTAATTCCTAAAGACTTAAATTGCAAAGATAGAGCTTAAAACATATTGTCGTACCAAAATCTTCTTATTTTTGTTTTGTTTTCATTAGGCCTGAAAAGTTAAATGTAGTTCATCTAACCCAAATCTACTTTCAATGTAAATCTACATTACTTCAGACAAAATCAGCAAAACCATTCATCTTCCTGCAACCAGCCTTGAAGACACTTCCTCTATAAATATTATGCTCACAACTTTCTGCCAAGGTGTAATTTAGAACTGTCATTGGTCTTCTTTTTAGCAGAGTTTCAGAAGGCATGACAAGCCAGAAGCTCTCGCTGTTGTCATCACACTTTAAAAGGACAAATTAATTAGAAAACATATCAGTTGGTTCAGTTCCAGTTCACTATAGGAAGCAATACTTCAGAATACTAATTTTTAGTTGATCAGAGGACGGCATAATAGACATCAAATTTTATTTATTAACTTTTTATTGCACAGTCTTTGGCCTCAAGGTTTTATAAGATACTCGCTCCTACTTCTGATATAGCTCCTATCTAGAATCACAGTGTGTCCTTTTGTGGCATTATTTAATTTTTGGTTTATTACTTAGTTATCTGCTTCCAGAGAATAAGTCTCATAAACGTCTTAAATGGGAAATACAAGTTAGTGACCAGTAGTGTTTGTTAAAGTGTGTTGTTCATTAATCAGCATTTGTGATGGGTTTGGAACTATGGGTCGTAAGAGCGTTAATGGGTTCCTCTGCGAATCAACCTTAAATCTTCTGGACAAGACTGAGTGTTTTGCAAATACAATGATAAGAAAATATTTGATTGACCTAAAGTCTCCATGTAACATAAGAAAAGAATAGACTGTGTCAATAGCTATGCAGCCAATACACAGAATCAGTCCTCAGGTCTGAATATGAACTCATCTTCGCTTCTTCCTCTTACTCAGTCCCCTGTGTCAATCAATGCCTTGGCAAAATTTCACCCCGTATCTTTAAAAGTATATTGCAATAAATTGAAACACTTAATGAGATATTATGTTTTCTTTTTCTATACATTTTATATAGTTGGGATCATGCATTATAGAAAATGCTTTCTTTACCTTTTTCTCATTAAGTCTCATGCTCTTGTATGTGCTTTAAAAATCATGATTTTAAATAGTCTATCAAATGAATTGGTCAAAATATACTTTATAGCTCTTCATTGTTTAAACATTATTTTATTCACAAGGCAGCTTTTTTACCATATTCACTGAATTCTACCTTTCCTTCCCATCTCTACACCTGTCACTTTTTCATAGATTAATTACTATAAAGGCTTCTCAAGTGGAAAGGAGGGAACTGGCATGTATTAAATACTTTCCATGCACTAAACAATGGTGATTTACATACATTATGTTATTTAATAGAATAACAATAGTTACCTAAAATGTGTCAGGCCTTATTCCTGTTATTTTACATCCATAGTTTTGTTTCACTCCCATAACAAACACAAAGGAACATTTTCTTGTTCTCATTGGAAGAAAGAAAAATGCTGAGGCTTAGTAGCCTCCTGTGTGGTCTGCCTGCTTCCCTTCTGTGCCTCCATCAACCATTCACTGCACTAGTGACACTGCACTCCCCACAGCACCACGGCTCTCAGGTTACTCACCTTCTCAGGAAAGCCCAGCCTCAGCATTTCCAACCAGTTACACAAAGGCCTCGAATAACTCCTCCTTAGGTCCCGTTCTTTATTCTTGAAACTTTCCAACGTGATCAGGCAAGTTTGCTTATTGCCCTGCGCTCATTTGGCATACCCCATTGCCTTACTAATTAAATTATAAGCTAGTCAAAGATAAGAACCCTATCTTTTACTTCTTGGCATTCACAACAGTGCCAAACACTGTACTCACAATAGTGCTCCATAAATTTTTATTGAGTTAAAATAAGCTGCATTTATTGGAATAGAATCATGAAGCCAAGTATCTTCAGGTTGCGGCCCACCCTGAATTACTTTTTGAGGTGATGCTGCAGTGGTGCAGGCCAGTGGTTCTTACAATGTGGTCCACGGACCACCACCACTGGCATCACCTGGCAACTTGGTTAGAGCTACAAAAATTTATAGTTTTCTTAGAACTATAAAATCAGAAACTCTGGGGTAGGATCCAGTAATGCATGTTTTAGCAAGTCCTCCAGGTGATTCTGCTGCAAGCTCAAGTTGCAAACCACTACTGTAGGCACAGTTAACTAGAACAGAGGTTAATGCAGTATCCTACAAAATGGCACTAATTAGCAACTAAGTAAAAACCTGCTTGACTGCAACTAGCAGGTTCTGTTCACTTTCTGGAGTTATGTATGATGAAAGGAGTTCTTCATCAATTATTCTGTTAGGGAAAAGCACTGATGCTAACCAGATATTTCAGAAATAAACGTTTTTTATATTGTTGAAGTTAGTCTTTCTCTGACTTTGAATCCTATGGCGCTTTTTTTTTTTAATTAGAAACAATGCATCATTACAGCTGTTTGAAATTTGAAGAGCCGTTGTTGGTCTTCCCCTCCTTTTACAAGGAAAACAACAGTGGAACCATCTGTCTAGTCCTTAAATAAAAGAAGAGCTTAAAAAATTACATCATTCCTTTAACTCCCTAACAGTTCAGAAGGAACTGTGGTAACAAATGAGGCCAATAAGGAAGGAAAGCAGGGCAGCCATGAATATTTACATGTCTTTAGAGAAAAAGCAGGCGTATGGCTACCTGGCCACAAAATCCCACTCCTTTTCACTTGCTTCAAAGGGATTGTGATGTTTCTTTTTGATTCATAAGTCTTAATATGATTTCTCTTCTCTTTTGCTACTCAGGAGTGAGCTTGCTGATTCCCGCTGGGGCCATTCCCCAAGGGAGGGTCTACGAAATGTATGTGACTGTACACAGGAAAGAAACTATGAGGTAAATATGCTTTTTTCTGGTGCACTTGACTTTATCAGTGTCTGACTTGGAGGAGAATTGTACAATAGAAATAATAAACCCAACATGTTTTTGTCCTGAGTGGCCTGCTTCAGGCATTCCCTTGTTTCCCTAGACCTATAAAAGGTCAATGTTTACTTCTCTTTATCTGTGAGGCTGTAGACACTTTTGCAGATCTTGAGTATGGGCAGAAGGCCAGAGATCTCTTCCCAAGTGGACTTGTGGCCATATTAGCTGAAAAATTGGCCATAAACATGATCCAGAGAAACACAGAAACATGACCCATAGATTGTCCAGAGAGATACGTGGGTAGACACAGCGACGTCAGCTTTATATAGCGTGGCTCAAGAATCCAACCTTTTCCCATTATAGAATTAAAGGTCACAAAGAATTAGACAAACCCTAACCTGTGACCTGCCAGCCCCACTTCCGCCCAGGCACTTTATCCCCCTGCAGAGTCTTCTTTTTGGGACCCTTTCTAACTTAAATGTTATCAACCTCCTTCTTATGGTTACCACCTATAAACTCCACGCTGGGCCTTTCTAAATGGGGCTAAAGTTGATTAAAACTAGATTGAATCAAAAGGTTCTGTTTCTCTTGTGTCATAATTATAAAGATGAAATTTTAAGTGAAAATAGCAAGAGGGAGTTTAGAAGTCCTAAATTCAATTTTCAGTCTTGCCTCCAACAAATTACGGTCTTTCTTGCTTAGTTCCCACATAAAGTGCATGTATTAAATAGTGCTTTAGAGGCCTGACTGATTTATGCTTCTAAAGCACATAGATCTTAAAATAAAAGATGTTGTCAAAATAACGATCCTTACATGTAATTTTAGCTGCTTTTCCCAAGGGGAAAGGCTTCAGCTCTTTAGTCCTGAGCTCGGAATACAAAGCATTAGTGACAAATGTAGAATTAGGTTATCATTATAATACATTATATCTCTCCTCTTCTCCTCTCTCTTCCTCAGAAAAACATCCATTTTTAGTCTTCTTCAGTAGCCAAAAAGCTCTTTCATCATGCTCCCAGGTGGAGATATTGATATTTATAATCTGTAGGGCCCAGAACATTTTTTCCTCAGGTGGTGTGCTTTCACCTACATAAACACTAGCCTGTCTAAGAAAATAATAAAATTCCTTCAGCATTATTCATGCCTTAAATTTGAGCAACAGAAAATCACTAAAAGGCTTATATTTACTCACATCAAATATTCATTTTTTTCATTCTCAATGCAAAGTAACATTCATGGGCCCTCAGAGCCCTTCTTTTGCAGCAGCAGAACTGAAGACTGGAAAATTCCAAGATCCCTTTGTATTTTTTTTTCTTCTTTCCCTTGTCCAGAGTCAAGGTTAACACTAAGTACTTCCATCTCCCAAGGCCATGCCAACATGGGTATTTTGTTTAAACAGAAATGAGTCTTGGCTGGTGCTTTATACCGAGAAGCAGTGAGGTGTTCACCGTCTCTTATTCTCCATCTGATCAGCATTATCTTTAGCTGAAGATCAAGCCAGAGGGGTCTGCCGCAGGCCCCGCCGAAGCTGAGAGACGTGTGCACTCACCCGCCCCGGGGTCTTCCCTCCCACAGCTTAGTCGGCGTCTGACCGGGATAATTGTACCTTTTAGATGAAAGAGAGAGAACACAGAAAATTGATAAAGCTCGACACTTCTGCTTTCAGGTTCCCCTGCCTTTGACTCTAAAGAAAAGGAAACAAAATCCCTCCTTGCCATGCCCACCACCTGAAGTTAAGTGCAGAGGGAATTATTCTGTTGAATCTGGTGTGCTTCAAAGAAGTTCTGTTTGTCCAAATGCAGCTAGAGAAGCCTCAGGATCTCAAAAAAAAGGCACAAGAGACCATGACACAAGGAACAAACACAAAAAGATAACTGTCTCCAGGAGATGAGAGAGGTCCCCTCTTTGTTCATTTTCTGTTGTGAACCAGATGGTTTTCTCTTGTGAAAACACAGTGGTGAGAATGTGTTTTAGGACACAGCCACCACACAAAGCACAGCTCTCACTTATTCAGCATACTTTGAATTTCGTTCATTCCTCCCTACTGTTCCGCGAGTTGCGGTGGGCTTCCCTGTCAAGGTGAAAAACGCTGAGCTGCGGGAACTGAAGCCCCATAGCTAAGGTTTCAGTTAAAGGCTGCGAGGAAACAGACTCGCATCCAGGCTATCGCACTGCAGGGCCCCGCGCTCTCGCGTGCCCCCCGTGCAGGGCCCCCCGCGCTTTCCGTGCCCCCC